TCAGAGTGATCACTCTGAGAAGCACAGAGCTGAAGACAGAAGCCTGAAGATGATGAATGAGACTTCATCGAAACGTTGCCTAGATACTTCCAATCTTACGCGGGAGAAAACCCGAATAACCAAAGATCGATCTATCTATCTATCTATCTATCTATCTATCTATCTATCTATCTATCTATCTATCTATCTATCTATCTATCTATCTATCTATATGATGTATATGTATATCTACATGCATATGTATATGAAGGACAAACATGAATGGCAGAATTCAATGCTGCATTTCTTGCAGTTGTTGTCTCCTAATGACATGGATGGAAGAAAGGTATATGTTTTACATTAAAATATGCAGGATAAACTCAAACAGGGATATGACATTTGAAAAATCATTTCTTGGCACAGGCCGAGAAAAAAGGGCAGAATAAGAGTTGGCATCTGGCCTCCCCTTTAGTGCTGCATTGCATCCCTAGGCTTGTTCACCATAAGCTCTTAACATGGAAGCTGTCAAGAGTTGGAAGGATTCCTTCCTCAGCCCATATACTTTGGCAGGCCGCTTCTTATGTACTTCAGTTGTGATAATATCTGACTGGGGCAAGGATGAAATGACACAAACCAGCAGTGTCTTTTGTCAAACAATTAAAAAAGAGAGAGAGAGAAGAACAGATTCTCTTTTCTAGGCATGCTGGCTTGTGAGGGACAGTGTAGTCCTAAAACTAAACCAATTTCATTCTTATTAAAATGCTGGGCTTTGCTGTTTTGTTCCTTTCCTCAGTTCCTAAAAGGTGCCATTGGAAAAAGTTTGTATTACTAAAACTGAGTAATGGAAAAAGCCCAAATATTGTTCCTGTTTTGCCTTCTTCCCATTCTCTAAAGTATCCAAGATGACTTTCTTTTACAATTGGAGTCAACCTGGCATGGCAAGGAATGAGCTTCACAACCTGCACTGTTAATGATAGCAAAACAAGGTTGAACAAAGGATGTTCCTCCATACAGAATTAACAGAATTGCCCACCAGGCAATTTTCCTAGAATTCACTCAACTTCAATAATTACCCTCTTTCCACCAGGAATGTATCACGCCAAACTTTGGTTTTCTTGTTTGTTCGAAACCTAAAATCAAAATAACAATAATTTACTGTTGGCATTCATGGCTATGTTTGGCTATTGAATTAAAGATGACTAATTTATTTTTATTCCAAGCAAATTATTTGCTCACAACTTCCACAATTTTATAAATATGATCTTTAAAATTGTTTTGTGTGCTGGGAAAGCAAGGGTCACTTGTACTTGTTTAGATATGTTTCATTTTCCATCTGCTTCAAAGTCTAAGTAAGGCATTTGCTGCCAAATAGGCTTCAAGAAAATGTTTCAGCTCACCTGTTCCCTGGTTTTTCAAGGTCCAGAAGTTTTAGAATAGATTTGCCATCCATATCTGGAGGTGTATCAAGTCCTGCAATATCCAAAACTGTTGGAGCAAGGTCAATATTCAGCACCATGTGAGATACTCTGCAAATTAACAGAAAAGGTCAGAGCTGTATTGTGCACATTAGAAGAAACACCTCAAATCTTTGTAGAATTAAAAGAATCTGAGTGTCATTTTATACAAGTATGGCTCCTTAAGACAACATTGTATGCAATGGTCTTTTCAAGTTTCTTCCAAATTTCCTTCACCGGACAGTGAATTAGGATTAGGAACGCTAATTTCAGAATGTATTAAGTTATGCAATGAGATAAAGCAGCCATGCTATTTGAGTCAGCAGACTTGTGGCTAAATATTTATATACCCAGTAAAGCCACAGTAAGTTAAATATATCCTCAAATGACCCCATTAAAATCTTAGCAGCAAGTTACAAAAGAACTGTCCAGGGCTGTACCGATAAAAAGAAATATGCCATTATATTTCTAGCAAACTTTGCAAAGAATAACATTTACAAAGTAACAAAAAGATGCTCTTCTTTGTTCATGCTTTGCAATAATCTTGATGAAATAAATCATCCACAAGAATGACAATCAAATGTGCTTACAAATACATTAGGTACAACAGCTGTGCTGCAGACATAGGAGAACGTACACTGATCCCGGCTCTATACTTGGACCACGAATAAAGAAAGGAACACGAATATCAAAATCATATGGCATTGACTTTCCCTTGACCAGTCCAAACTGTCCAATATGGTAACCATGATCAGCAGTGTAAATAATGTAAGTATTCTCCAATTCTCCAGTTTCCACTAGCATATGATATAACTGAAATGCAATAAATGGGGAAAAAAGTCAATACAAACCAATGCTAAATCAACCATTATAAATACACACAAAGCAGTCTTTACAAATTTTACATTCAAGCAATTCTGTTAGGGCTATGTCACTAAAACCAATTAAAATCCAGCAACCATGAAACATTCACCGCATGCTTCTAGAAGAGATTACACAAATTCCATCAGATATGGATTTGGGTGCCGAGTATTTATTTTTTTCTTTTTAATTCCAAGCCTATCAATTCAACAGCAGGATTTTGGCTTGGCTGATCTGAGACATCCCAGGCCACTTAAGGAAAAGTAGACATTCATTTTGTAGGCCCAGAGAAAGAAGGGAACTGCTGCAACTGAAACTGACTACTTGCCGCAGGACTGCTACAGCTGTCTGCCTTGAAGGCAATTCCATCTTCCTGATCCCATCCTACTTGATCAGATTGTTGCTTTTTAATGAGTTTATGCTTCACTACAATGTAGTGTAGCAAGTGTTAGATGGGGAGATTGATTCTCCCTTCCCTTAACCCTACTTTTCGGTTATCTCTTGTACATAAAGAAACAACTTATAAGTTACCTTAAATCCTTTCTTTTTTCTTTTCTTTTTCTTTCCTTTACAGTACCTTCCCAATTTAAGGCTAAATAACTAGATCCAGTTTATCTGCCCTATAAAACTCTCCTGCCCAAAGTGGGATTCAAAGTGGTGGGATTCAAATTTTTTTACCACCGGTTTGGTGGGCGTGGCTTGGTGGGTGAACCTGAACATCACTCCCTATGGTTATATAGTTATTGGTGCCCCATGAAAGCTGTTCTTCAGATACCAATTCACCTGTGTCTCGCACTAGATGTAGAGGGTGGAAGGAAGAGCTGCTACCCAGGAAACAGAGAAAAGGAGCCTGAGGCCAGGCCTAGAATTTAATATGAATAAAAGTTTTAAACAAGGTCTTCCCTCGCTCACATGAAGATGGATAAAGGGAAGGATGAGGATGGATAAAGGGAAGGATGCATTCAGACTTGTAAGATTCTATGACTGTAGCTTTACAATAAAAGTAGTAGTGATCTGTCAGGCATTGGTTTCCTACACTGATCTACTTTGAGGGGCTGACTATATTCATCCCACCCTTATTGTGAGTATTCAGTGTTGGTGTCTTTGGTTGCTAATTATCTTACGAGATAAAATGCACTAACTTTGAGACCACACACACTTATTTATTGCCTTAAAAACATAGACACGATTCTCTGAACAGCAGCAGAATTGGCCACAGTCCAGTCAGAAAAAAAAGACAACTAACATGATGTCTTCATGCCATTGCCTGCCTATTTGGTAAGTAAACTATTGCTATTTTTTAAAATTAATTCTGCTATGGTGAAATTTAAGTTTGTGATATAGATAGCAGGCAGGTAAATACAAAATAAATGTGCTTGTCAGAATGAGGCCTTATGAAATAATGTTGCTGAGATTAATTTGCTTTGAATGATTTGTTGGGCCTATCTGGAAGTGGGAAGTCTTGTGCAAGTTGTTATAACTTATAGAATCTAAGTTCCCAGAGTGTATTCAAAAATACACAGACTAACATTTGGAATTGTTTGATGAACTTTTGATTTCTCTTCTTTTTAACTTTTGCTGATTCAGCTGTGGTTGTGAGTGATATATGTTTGTGAATATACAATCAAACACAAATAAACACATGAGCATATAATTGTCCCAACTATTGCTTAATCAGAGTTTTCAGAAAACATTCTGGTCTTGTTTTATACTCAACCAATATTCCATATTTTTTCTGCGAGAGTTATAATTAAGCATTTTAAGTAGCAAACAGTGCTTAGCTTAAACATTATCTGGAAAGATGACAACAAACTTGATAGGAATGGTAGCACCCATAGGAAATCAACGTTTTGTCCATGTCTGCATCTGGTTACTTACTTATAGCTTGGTTGGTTGGTTTTCACCAAGTATGTGCAGGCTTCTGTTAACTTGAATATTGAATATCAAATTGTCTTTCTAGCTTCCTCTCTTTGGTTTGTACTGTGTTGCTAAGCATCTCAGGGATGTATTTAATTGAAGACTTTTGTGGTCTTCCCTGAACCCCTTAACAGTTTCTAAATTATTGGTTGGGTAAAAATGCTTTACTTATGATATTTTTAAATGTTTTTCATCGCCACCTTTCCCAACCTTCATGCAAGTTCATTGGCCATAAAAAAGGCAGCAGCAATAGCACTTAGACTTACTGTATATACAGCTTCACAGTGCTTTACAGCATCTCTAAGCAGTTAACCCAGTCAGCATATTGTCCCCAGCAATCTTGGGTCCTAATTTTATAGACCTCGGATGGAACGCTGAAAAGGCAGTAAGAATCTCATTGTCTTGGAATCCCTGAGCGTTCAACTTATTTTAAGCTTGATATGATGAAAGACTGAATCTGGTTTGAATTTTTGTTCTACAGGGCAAACTCACATCGTCATGGCGGCGTCACCTGACGTATTGGGACTTTGTTCCCCTTTGCTAAACTGGGGGTAGGGGTGGCCAGAGTCCCTTTGACAGCCCTGTTCTGTTAGATTGTTTCAAATGGGGCTGTTTGTTTCAGGCTTGAAACAAACCACACTTTCCATTTTATGTATACCTTGGGAAGTTTTTGCAGGGCTCTGCAATTCTGATATTCTCCAGGTCATATGAATCTGTTTGGTTGCAAAACAAGCAACTATGACTGTAATATTAAACTTTAGAGACTATCACTGACACAGAAAGTCTCTTTAAATGTGGTCAAATATGATTTAACTTTTCTTTTTCATCAGCTGAAATCAAACTTTTGCAATGAATGAATTAAATATTTCAAACAACTCAAGGAAGCTCCTATTATAGAATGTTTTAATTAGTACAGAACACCAAAGGACTCATACAGGTACCGCTTGACTTACAACTATTCGTTTAGAGACCATTTGAAGTTATAACAGTTCTGAAAAGTGACTTATGATCTTTTTTCACATTTATGACCATTGCAGCATCACTATGGTCACATGATCAAAATTTGGGCTCTTGGTAACTGGCGTGAAGTTAGGACAGTTAAACTGTCCCAGGGTCTTGTGATCATCTTTTTGCAACCTTTCCAGCTGATTTTCGACAAGCAAAGTCAATGGAGAAAGCCAGATTTGCTTAACAACCACAAAATTCACTTAACAACTGTAGTAATTTAGTTAACCACTCTGGCAAAAAAGGTCATAAAATGAGGCACAGCTCACTTAACAACTGCTTCACTTAGCAACATAAATTTTGGGCTCAGTTATGATCATAGGTTTCGGACTACCTGTACACTACAATGCTTCACTACACAACCCTTGTGTATATGCTATCTATTTTACCAGATGAAAACTTACCCTTCTTCATGTACTTGGTTTGCCTTTCAATCAGTATTCTTGCAAGAATGAATGGAATAAAAATTGGGGTATTCATATAAAAATGGAATGTTAAGTAGAACTCTGGGACAACGATTTTCTACCACAGCAATATTCAAAACAGAGCAGAATATAGTACTACGGAATGGCTTTAAGCATTTTTATTTGCTTACCCTTTCCATGGAATCATCAACTGACAGCAGAGTTTGAAGTCTTTTGCGTTGCAAGGTATTTGTAAATTCCATATGGATGGGAAGCATAGGCCCTGTATATTGCATGATCCAATGCTTATCCATATTGGGTGCATAGTTGTAACTAGGAGTTCTACAGGAGAAGATAATATACATTAAGCTCCAATAGTAGAGAATATCTTACCAACAAGGAGACACCATCAATGCAAACAAACCACCATGCTCAGAGAGCATCAAGAACTCTTTAGACTAAGCTAATCAAACTGCAAAATCAAAATAACTGCACATCAAAATAACTTTCAGAAAAAATGCAAGGTTATGAAATGCTTTTTTATGGATTACCAGTTGAGAGTAAGCCATCACAATTAAGTAGCTAGTTTATTTCATACAATTCTAAGTTCTGACTTCCAGCATATTATTTATTTATAATCCCAATATTATAATTACCTAGTCTTTTCCGAGGCTGATGTTTTGCTTCTCATCCAAGAAACTTCTTCAGCTACAGAGCTAAAAAAGCTTCTTGCATGAGAAGCAAAACGTCTTCAAAGAAAAACTAGAAAACCCACTTGACTCTTGAAAAAGCACCTTTGGGACAACTATGACCTGGTTGACTGAGAATCTCCATAAACATTAATCAATATCTTAAATAATAAAGGCAATAGGCTCCTAAAAAACAACTTTGTCAGGGATATGAGTGTTCTGTGTGACTCCCAAAGTCTAAGTTAATCTCTTTCTCACAAGCCATAGACTAGTGTTGTTCAAACTTGGCCACTTTAAAAGGTGTGGGCTTAAACTCCAAGAATCGCCCAGGCAGGATGCTTTCAACTTTCAGGCTTGCTGGCTGTACCACAGCAAGTTTGTTTTCACTGACTAATTTCTGAAAAATTAACAGTTTTGAAATTAATATATAGGTAAACTTCTATACTATATGTATATCACAGTCATGAGAATTAGGAAAATTAAGAATAATTATGATTTCCCTTACTCAATAGCAAAAATAATATTTCCTACTGGTGCAATAATGTCGTGTAATTAAGGAATTGCTTAATTAACAGAAATTCCTCATTAACAGACAGACACTGTATCATAGTTCTTTAGTAATAATGATAATTTTTCACCTAACTTTGCCAAGTTATCAGGCAACATTTGTTCTGCTTTCCATTCTTTACAGCTGACAGCTCCTATGGTTGCACAGCATCACAATTCTGCATACATAAATAAACAAATAAAATAAAACCAAGCATGCACATACCATGCCACTCCCTGGAGCACCGTTATCTTGATTTCTATATAATTGCCATGGTTAGAGCCAGAAAATCATGTTTATCTTCCATTTTGATTACTAAAGAATCTGTTGATGCTTGGATGCTGTCCACAGAGAGGCAGCTGCCCCAATTGCCCCTAAGACAATGGCTGCAGCCATCATTAAGAAGGATGTTATGTCTGTTCTCATTATGATACGGGACAATATAACACTAATGCTACTGTTTGTGCTGTAAATATTTCATTGGGTGCTGCTGAAAACAGAATGTCCCGAGTCAAAGATTTTAATGTCCTCTGAGACACCCATAACTGAATTATTGAAGGCTAATACTCTCCAGGCCAAAATAATGTCTTTCAAATCTCAGTCTCACCAGTGCAATTTACACATGGTTGGAATTCCACAATGAGCAGAACGTTATTAGGTGGAATATTAGCTCTGCCAGAAGATTATCAGTAGAAACTGAGAGGGCTCCCTGCTGATAAGACTTTGCCATTTATTGGGAAATATCTCAAAGATCCATATATGTTCTGTCCAAACTACCCTAAGAAATTACAAGAATGTAATCAGATTTTTTCCTACAGGAAGAAATACCATTTGGGAGATAAATTTTAAAATGTTATTGAACTTTCAGTCATTTTTGTTATCTGACAAGCTAAGGGCATCCAGAAATCTTTCCGTACTCTTGTGAAAGCAGGAAAAAGCAAACTGTATTTTCTTTAAATTTCGCTACCAAAGTCACATTAGTGGATTGAAAATTTTCTCCCTTTTTGCACAGAACTTATTTCCTCAAGCTATTTCTCTCTAATTCATGATCACACATTTGTTTGTTTTGCACACTGTCTGTTAGAGTTTGAAACTACAAGGAAAAGTTAATAAACCACAGTCCTTTTAACGTTCTAATTTATTTTTTTCCTCTGCTCTCCTTTTTCTTAATCTTAATCTGGCCTTCCTCAAGATATATATTCAACCACAAATAAAAAGTTTATTTCATTTTGTCTCTTGTTCAGTTTTGTATAAAATTAATAATAGTAATATAATTTGTTAATGTGTTTAGGGGAAATTAGATTAGAAATGCTTCATAATACTTTTAAATATGATGCATGTTGAACCACTTTTAATTTTTTTCTCATTTTTTCTAAGAGGTGCTTGTGTTTGCATATTTACAATAGATATGATGTAAAACTACTTTCAAGTCCTTTGTATCCTATTTTAATTAATCCCTGTGGTTCGGTAGTTCTCTTTATTCAATTGAACTTTAAGAGTGTAGATGATTTTATATAAAACTTGTATAGTTACAAGCAATAAATAAGTCCTACAGAAAGCATGGATGAGGGAAATATATATATGAGACAATTCTGAATGTGAAAGGAATGTTTCAACTTGATAATTTTTAAAAATCAGATTGCTGAAGGGAAAAATGGAGTGAAAATATATTTATGCATTTATTTACAATGCATCTGATGATCTGAGTGGTTTATAGGCCTTCATTCAGTACAAAGATTAAAAACAAAGTATAACAAAATGGTGTAAATAAAATAAAAACTTTTCCTTCTCTCCCTTCCAATTTGGTTTCAGAATGTCCCACTACTCAGAAATTCTGAAAATATTTGATGGATGGCAGTACATGAACAGCGGTAAGATTCTGTGATATCCAGATTATAAATTACATTTTGAAGGAATAAGAAATTTACTATATATTCTTAATTACATTTTGCCAGTACAGGCAATCCTGAACTTACAACAGATTGTTTAGTGACCATTTAATGTTACAGTAGTGAAAAAAGTGGCTTATGACCGGTTTTCACACTTATGACTATTGCAACATTTCCATGGTCATGTGATCAAAATTTGGACGCTTGGCAATTGACACATACTTGTGACGGTTGCAGTGTCCCCGAGTCATGTGATAATCTTTTGTGACCTTCTGACAAGGAAAGTCAACGGGGAAACCAAATTCACTTAACAACTGTGTTACTAATTTAACAACTACAGCAATTCACTTAATGACTGTGGCAACAAAGATCGTAAAATGAGGCAAAAATTACTTAACAACTGTGTCACTTAGCAACAAAAATTTTGAGCTGAATTGTGGTCGTAAATCAGGGACTATCTGTGTATTCATCTGGTATCTTACCTGGTTACTCTGAATTACATTAAATCAGCCAGAATTAATTAGGTTTCAATAAAAATATTTACACATTTTAGGCTGTATTCTTTTTCTTTTAATATTTTTTTTATTAATTTTCAATAAACAAACATACACAAACAAAACACAAAACATAAAACTTCTTTTTGGAAAGCGGCTTAGTCCCGGGTTACATCAGACATAAATCAAATTCATGCTCACATTATATACCATTTCATATCTTATTTATCATTCTACATTTTCTATATAGCTTCTCCCCTCTTTTTACTCTCTTAATTCTATCTTATTTATTTCATCTCAATTTAAGTCATTATTTGTATCATTTGTCTGTTCTATTTCAATTATCTATTATCTTTTCTCATTAACACAAAATTTCTCCTGTAATCACTGATTGAAGTATGATGCCTTTATATCTTTCCCCTAAATTTAACACTTAAAATAATATATAGTTTCCATTCTGATTCTGCTTAGTACATTCTAAAGCTACATACTATATTTTAAAATAGGAAAATGATAAGTTTATAATATAATTAAAACAATAATCCATAGCGAATTAAACTATAATTAAATCTTAAGCATTTTACACATTCCTTTTAATATTTTATCCCATTTTATAATCATATAGTGTTCCAGTTTTCTAACATTATTTCAAATACAAATACAACAATACAGTCTTATGTACTTTTGCAGAATCTCTTTTAAAATTATATTTTTACCCATTATCTCTGAATAAATCCTGTTTCTTTACATCTTGTTTCAAACCTTTGTAACTTCTCTTCCTTTCCCCCCTCCTTTCTTCTCCAGTCTAGCCTTTTTACCCCCCCATCTCTTGATCTCCACCCTCTTAATCTCCACCCTCTTCTGTATTCCTCTTTTCTGTTGCTTTCTGACATTGTATCAATTTTTCACCTTATTTTTCCCTTTTTTGGTTGTTTTTTTAAGTCTTAAATTCTCCATTCTCTTTCCCCTCTTTCCCTTTTCTTCCCCAGCTAAAGTTGTTTGTTCATTAAAGATGGCTTCTTCTTCTTCTTCATCCCAGCCTTCTTGTTCTTATAATTGCTGATAGGTAGAAATCGCCATTTCTAAAAAATGAAAAACAGATCCAGAAGAGCCCTTCCTTTCTTGTTCTTCTTCTTTTAGCTTTTTGAATTCCATTTTCAGTTCATCAACAAGTAATGCCATAGTGAAAAAGTTTTTAAAACAACCCAAAAGTTTTTAGTCTTTCAAATAATAATTTCCAAAGGTCCCAAAGTCACCAAGCAGTCCAAATACACACAGTCTGTTTCATTTAGCACTTTCTTCTTTTTATACTTTATCTTCCTGGGGTACAGTTCAATTGTAAAGTTCCAAAATGTATCTTTTAGAAGTCTTGTTACAATTTAACTCTAGTCTTATAAGTTCCAAGCAGCCTCCTCCAGCAAAAATCTTAATGTTAATTCTTTTCCTCTCCCTTCCCACTTGTAGCAAAGAGTAAATTTTTTTTTCTTTTTCAACGTTCAGAAATCTTTAATGTCCCCTTGGCTTTAACTTTCAAATGTAATTACCTGCTGGTGCCAGAACGGGTTTTTCCGATTTCCATCTGCTATCACTGTAAGGAAGGAGAGTGAGAAAAAACAAACTTTCCCTTTTAACTTTCATCTGCCGCTTTTCCCAATCTTCTTTAGGAACGATGTATCTTTGATGAAATTAAAATTCCAGGGTATTTAAATGCTACTTATTATCC